CAAATTTGCAGGAATGAAATATGCAATGATAAGTACCAAAGTTGTTTTAGCAACATTAATAAGAACATTCCGGTTTAAAGTTAACAAAAAATTAAATTAGAGAATATAAAATTAAAAAATGACATAGAGAGAGTATTATCAACAGAAGAACCTTTAAAAGTTCGAATTGAAAAACGAACTAAAGTGATATAAAAGTATAATAAATATACGATATGATTAATTTGCACAACATGGTGGAGGTGAGTTTTGATTTAATACTTTTTGTAATATATCACATGTAATAATAAACAGCATACAATATTTATATGTTCCAAATATTTATAAAATTTATTTTAATATTTTATACATAAACATGTAATAATTTTTCTGTATAAAAATTTTAGGTGACAAGACCTTACCAAAAGGCGCGAATATTATCGTTGCAATCATTCATATACATCGAAATGACAAATACTGGCCGAATCCTTTAAAATTTGATTCTGAAAGATTTCTTCGAGAGGACATTAAACATTCTCAATATTATATTCCTTTTAGTGATGGTCCAAGGAATTGCATCGGTAAGCATAAACAAATGATAAAATATAGTAATATTGTTATATACAATGAATTCACAAATTTGAAGGAATGAAATATGCAATGATAAGTACCAAAGTTGTTTTAGCAACATTAATAAGAACATTCCGGTTTAAAGTTAACAAAAAATTAAATTAGAGAATATAAAATTAAAATTTGACATATATTATAGTATTATCAACAGAAGAACCTTTAAAAGTTCGAATTGAAAAACGAATACTAAAGTGATAATATTTTATACATAATATTTTATACATAATATTTTATACATAAAATATTAAAACAAATTTTATAAATATTTGGAACATATAAATATTGTATGCTGTTTATTATTACATGTGATATATTACAAAAAAGTATTAAATCAAAACTCACCACCACCATGTTGTGCAAATTAATCATTTCGTATATTTATTATACTTTTATATCACTTTAGTATTTGTTTTTCAATTCGAAATTTTAAAGGTTCTTCTGTTGATAATACTCTCTCTCTCTCTCTATGTCAAATTTTAATTTTATATTCTCTAATTTAATTTTTTTGTTAACTTTAAACCGGAATGTTCTTATTAATGTTGCTAAAACAACTTTGGTACTTATCATTGCATATTTCATTCCTGCAAATTTGTGAATTCATATATATGTATAACAATTTTACTATATCTTATAATTTGTTTATGCTTACCAATGTAATTCCTTGGACCATCACTAAAAGGAATATAATATTGAGAATGTTTAATGTCCTCTCGAAGAAATCTTTCAGGATCAAATTTTAAAGGATTTGGCCAGTATTTGTCATTTCGATGTATATGAATAATTGCAATGATAATATTCGCGTCTTTTGGTAAAGTCTTGTCACCTAAAATTTTTATACAGAAAAATTATTACATGTTTATGTATAAAATATTAAAATAAATTTTATAAATATTTGGAACATATAAATATTGTATGCTGTTTATTATTACATGTGATATATTACAAAAAGTATTAAATCAAAACTCACCACCACCATGTTGTGCAAATTAATCATTTCGTATATTTATTATACTTTTATATCACTTTAGTATTCGTTTTTCAATTCGAACTTTCAAAGGTTCTTCTGTTGATAATACTCTCTATGTCAAATTTTAATTTTATATTCTCTAATTTAATTTTTTTGTTAACTTTAAACCAGAATGTTCTTATTAATATTGCTATAACAACTTTGGTACTTATCATTGCATATTTCATTCCTACAAATTTGTGAATTCATATATATAACAATTTTACTATATCTTATAAGTTGTTTATGCTTACCAATGTAATTCCTTGGACCATCACTAAAAGGAATATAATATTGAGAATGTTTAGTGTCCTCTCGAAGAAATCTTTCAGGATCAAATTTTAAAGGATTCGGCCAGTATTTGTCATTTCGATTTATATTAATAATTGCAATGATAATATTCGCGCCTTTTGGTAAAGTCTTGTCACCTAAAATTTTTATACAGAAAAATTATTACATGTTTATGTATAAAATATTAAAATAAATTTTATAAATATTTGGAACATATAAATATTGTATGCTGTTTATTATTACATGTGATATATTACAAAAAGTATCAAATCAAAACTCACCACCACCATGTTGTGCAAATTAATCAT